AACCACTTGTTACTGTCTTTGTCCCTCATCCTTTACTGTAGGTGGATATTCATGACCTAGAACAAAGTGGAAATGAGGGCAGTGAGGTGTTGGTTAAATCAGCCTTCCTGTTACCCAAGGGTCCTCAAACTCAGCTTGGCACAAACCACTTTGGACATTTTATTTATTTATTTATTTTAATAGACATTTATTCATTCAGTTGAACAACCTCTATGCACAATCAATACGTATGCTTTCTTTTGAGTAGAGAGGATTTAGGTCTTAATGTTTTATAAGCCTGCTATGAATGTTTTCTAGATATAAACAGGTCCCTTTTAAAGCCCCTAGAGAAAATAAGAGAAAAAATCAGTTCAGGGAAATCATCAATATTTTAAAATCAAGTCGTCTATTAGGATAGGAAACTCAACATTTGTAGGAAGGGAAATTCCTGCTTTATTTCTTACATATTCAAATCCACCCTGAGAAACTATAGCCAGTCTACTAGAAGACATGACATAAACAGAAAAAAACCAATGTGGTGGTAAGCTTAACTGATGGTCTTTGTGAATACTACAAAATTTTGAGGGCAATTTGACCACGGATGAGAAAAGTTAACTGCAGACAACACGAACTTGCATTACAGCTTTCCTAATAGCTTTATGGGAGCAGATAAACTTGAGTTGCCCTGAGATGTGTTGATTGGACTGAACAAAGATGCACCAAGCATACCTTTCTCCATGTGGCCACAGACTACTTAGTGGTCATCAACTACAGTTATAGGTATTTTAAAATCTTGACTCAAACTGAAGTTTCTAAGCTCACACTTGGAACGTAGTAACTGAACAACCACTGGTTTATCAGCTTCCCACTTAGCTTGTGCTACTTTCTTACGAACCTTGAGGTAGATAATTCTTATCTGCTTCATGTCTGGTAGTGTTACCACTGACTTCTGTGTATCAAATTCAAGATTCTAGAGCCCATGAAGTAATATAATTAAAACCAGTTTTCAACTCTTGTTAACTTCCATGAGACTCAAGATTTTACACCAGCTAACCTAGATTTTAGAGACCTCTTGTAACAGGTTTATTTGATTCTTCTGAAAACTGGTAATTTGGAAACTTCTCTTTCAGAAGTAGCAATTACTTTTCTACATATAATCATGTTATCTGGTTAGAATATACTCCTTTCCTAAAAAATCTCTAAGAAAAATCCAATATTAAGTTTGTACCTGCCAAACTCTAAAAGCCCAGCCACTTTAAACCAGCAGAGCGTTGCATCATCCCAGTAAAGCTGTAAGTTTTCTCATATGCACTGAACAAATCTACAGAGCTAGTTTCAGTTCTCAACTTTGTAAGAACTTATTTTACACCTGTTAGACCACACAGAATGTTTTAAACACTGGCATAACTCCCTAATAAGATAAAGCAAAGACAAAATCATTTACCTTATTAGAAACAAGATACACCGTCACTTAAGTCTTCAAACATTATTGCATTTCCATAACTTGACAAAGTATGCATGAAATAATCTGCAGACTAGTTTTAATAGACAAATAATACCTGTAAGCAGATATGACTGTCCTAAATTGTTTATTAAGTATGAATTTTACAGACATTACTTTTATTAGCAGTAATCCAGGCTGCACAGCAGGAACCACCAATAGTGAGGTGGAACTTGTGGCCCTTTCCAAGGGCCTGCAGTTGTCAGCCCATGCATCTCCCTGTGCTTGTGGGCTGGTTTCTTTACCCATTTGGTGTCAGGATTTCTCCTGATAGCCTTATGGAAAGGATCAATAAGGACAACCTCGAGGATTTTGTAGTGGAATCTTCACCAATCCAGTGAGAATTTAGTGCTCTCAGAGCCCCACAGTGAAGTCCAGCTAGCTCCTTGGCAACAGACTGAAGGCTTTGTGCCATCTTCTGCTGGTTGCCACCATGATGGATGGTTTGCCATAAGTTGCACTCTTAGGAACTGGGCGTTTGCAGCCACCACTGCGCACATGAATCCCGTATACATAACCTTGCTTGGCCTTGTATACCAGGTGGCATGCTTTGTTGGGCTGAGTGAGGTGGAGAGCCCTGTGCAGCCCTGACAGCTGGCGATACTGCCAGCAGCGCACTCTCAACAGAAGCACATCACAACTGCTTCTTCCTCCACAGCTCCTGGATGTAGTTGTATGCACCCATCTTGGCCTATCTGGTGACAGAAAGGAAAGGACATTTCTCCCCCACTTTGGACATTTTAATCCATTTATATTCATAATGGTTGGAGGAGTACATGACAATTTAGTTCAAATATTAGGTCACAGCTAAATATGGTGTATGCTTTCTTTTTTCTCCCTCTATTATTAAAGATTTAGCTTACTCTAATCCCTAGATTCTTCCTTCTTCTGTCCAACAATAAAATAGCCCCATAGCAGGAACACAGAATCAATACACACGTAGTTTGACTAAGATACTCTTTCCTGGAGCAAGCATGGATCTATCTATCTATCTATCTGTCTATCTATCTATCTATCTATCTATCCATCTATCTACCTACCTACCTACCTACCTACCTATCTATCCTTCTTCAATATAGCTGTGGCCCTTGCATGAAAGTAATTTTTAAAAATCTTATTATTCTTCGTCCCAGCATTGGAACTACCCTGAGTTTTGATAGAGCATATAGTTGCTTGACTTACATCAATATTTCCTAGCCTCCCTTGTAGCTAGGTTTAGCCATCTAAGTTTCCTCCAATAGAATGCTATCAGAGTGATGTTTGCAACTTCTATGACGAGTCCTTAAAAGGACATTGCATGTTGTCCATTTTTTCTTTTGCTTCCCTGCAGCTTCAGTTGGGTATTGGCTGACTAATATTCCTCAAGCATATGAGGGTCATATTGTATGGAATGGCAGGCCAATAGGATGGGAGGGAGAAGAGTCCTCAGATAATGTGTGCCCCCCTCCCACTTTATTGCTTCTGTACTGTTACATGAGAGAATGATAAATCCTTCCCTGTGAGCTATCCTAGTTGTGAGTTTCTCTATTACAACTGCTTAGTCTGCTCCCTAACTAATATGTAGTGGGAGATACTCACTAAGTGCTTACAATGTATTATGGCACTTATTTCCCTAGCAACTGTCCTAAGTAGGTAATACCAGCCCATTTTACAGATGGGCAAATAGTTTAGAGATGTGAAATGTCTTGTCCAAGATTGCATGCCTATATATGGCAGAAAGGACTTGAACTTAGCTTTGAGGTGTTTCAAACATGTATTCAAAATAGCTGTTCAAAATAGCTGTTCCCCAACATCTCTTATTACTGTTCTCTCTTTTTCTGCAGAGAATATTCAAAATATTCTTGATACAGTCTGTTTGGACTTCTCTTGGTGTAGGAGGTTCATTTTATCTTCCCTTTAAAAATTATTCTTTGTCTTGAATAGGTTAATATTGCTCTATTCACAAGATAGTAAATCCCCCAGGGGATGGACAGAAATACAAAAGAAATGACAATTATGTGTCTTCAGGGATAAAAGCTGTCTGGTCACCTAGAATGAATCAGTATTCTCTACATAATGTTTTTCTCATCAGTGTATGAATACTACTGTTAATGAATCAGTCCTGGTGGACCCCACCCTTCCCCACCCTCTGCTCCATTTTAAATACATTTTCAGGGTAGCAATGTATTTGAATAGAGGAAATATCTGAAAAGATGATTTTGAGTAATGAATGGTGCTTTCTCTATCAGCATAAAATAAGCAGACAAAAATCTAAAAATGTCAAGACTTGCACTTTACTTAAATGTTAGTTTCATGATTGTTCTGCTCTGTGTGAGTTAGTATTAAGTTTGCTGCATAGTAAAAAAAAAAATCCAAAATAGTAATTGCCTCAACAAGGTATGTTTTTCTTACAGGAAAGAAACCTGGAGATGGGCAGTTGAGAGATGATATAGTAGCTTCTTGGCCACTGGGATCCCAGGCTTTTTCTCACTTTTTTGTCCAGAATCTCCCCAAATGGAAGTCTATTCTAAGGATTCCTTTAGGATTGTTAATAACTGTCTACAATTAGCAAGAACCCTTGCAATAACAACATCTGCTCAGAGTGGCAGGCAGAAAGGCAGGTTGGCAAAAGGCTTTATCTGTTTGCTCCCTTTTAAGTCCTTTTTCCAGGATTTTCATTGAATAAACTTCCATTTCATTGGTCAGAACTTAGCCATGCCTAGTTACATAGGTGCTCAAATGAAAGTGAGGTTTTATTTTTAACTAGGGGAAAAGAGGAAGTATTGGGTAGACTGCCTTGCCTTCTTATTAAAAAACAATGACCTATGGGCCAAATCTGCCTGCAACCTATTATTAATATTATTATTTTGTAAATACATTAGATTGGAGGAAAGCCATATGCAGTCATTTTATATATTGTCTCTAGCTGACATCATGCTACAACAGCAGAATCAAGCAGTTATCCCAGGGATTGTATGGTCTACAAGCCTAGTATATCTACCCTCTGTGCTTTCTAAAAGTTTGCCAACTTTTTCTAGGCTTCAGTCTTTGTGATGCCATTATAGGAGCAGAGTTGAGCTTGATAAGGATTCAGCGATTATCTATTCTTTTGCAGTCCCATGAAGTTATTATATATGTTAGGCATGTGTTTGGCTGCAAGTAACATAAAAATCTGACTAATGATAGACTGAAAAAAAAAAGGACGTTTATTCTCATCACATACACAGTCCAGGGTTAGTGCAGATGCTCAAGGAGACCTTTGAAACTAGACCCTTTCTTTCTCCCCAACCATGCTAAGAATGTTGGCTTTCTGTAAGATGTGTGCCCAGCTCACATCCTATATGTTTGCATTCTACCCATGAAGAAGGAATGGTACAAAAGGCCAAAGAGGCATTAGTCTGTCCCACCCTAAAAGCTTTCTTAGAGGTTATTAATAGCCAAGATTCTCTTGTGACCACCACTAGCAGCTGAGGATTCTGGGATGGTGAGAATATGAACTTAGGCATATTAGGGGGCAAACAAAACAGAGATTCTGTTGAGAATGCAGCAGGGAGACAATAGCACATGTGCTATAGAGTTCCTTGCAGTTAACTGGGCCACTTCCTACAGTCTCATTCTTCCTCCCACCTTTCTTCCTTATCCCTCCTTGTCACAGTTCCCCAAATTAATTCATCTTCTTCTCACCTCCCTTTCATACTTTTGGCTAGGTGAGAAGTCTGGGAATGAGCCCGAGGAGGCAAAGCTGCAGAGCACCAGCAAACAGATCGTGCAGAATGCCATCCTGCAAGCTGTGCAGCAAGTCTCCCAGGAGAGTCGGCGGAGGGAAAGCAGAACCAGTGACAACAGGGCCCACTGCCCACTGGGCGGGCAGGAGTTGACCAATAAACACGAAAAGAAGTAACAGGGTGGTGCATTTGGCTGTTGTAACATGCTTGGTTTCTAGCCTTCCTGTTAGTGTAGGATGTGTAGCCAAAATGTTGCCAATAAGTATACCAAAGTGTCAAGAGCACCTAGCAGTAGAACAAATTTGCACTAGCCCTTGGCCAAGAAGCACTGTTTTGGGAAAGTGCATTAGACAATTCTGCTCATGTTTGTTCAGTGCCTCTGAAACACAGTGGGGCTATACGTGTACCATAGTTGGAAAAGTAGTTTTGCAGCATGATTTAGTTTTAAAGTTCATTTTTTTAAAAGTTTTTTTTAATTTTGAAAAAATACTTTAAAGTCTTGTTTATTTCCTTTTGCCTTCTATGCATTTTTTTCCCTATGAATTCAACCAGCAGTCTTTTTTTTTTTAACTATTGAGGACAGTTCTTTTTTCTTTATAAATATTTTAAAAAGACAAGCTGGAAAGACGAAGGAAAGAGTTTTGATCCTTTTCAAATACAAAATTGAAGGCTTTTATGATATGAATTCAGTTTCAAGATTAAATTAAGCAAAGATGAATTCTATGTGTGAGTGTTTCTGGATTGTACTAAAGCATATATTTTTATTACTTAAAAAAAGAGAGGCGTTTATGCTTTTAAGAACTCAATCTTTTAATCTAACTCTCTGAATTGGTTCATGGTTGGCATTTACTTTCTGTACAAATATTCATTTGCTTTCTGTACAAAAATACAAAAATTCAAGGGATGGATGGATTTCTTTTTTCATTTCAATATTTAAAAAGACAAGTGAGTCTATATGCATGAGTTGAGACTATTTAATCCTTTAGCAGTCTAGTAGAGAACAACTAGAACTGTAAATCTCTAAACAGCCGCCCATCCTGGGCATACTTACCCTTGGGCGTGGTTATGGAGGGCAGCACCTTTGGAAGGAAGTCTGGGGCCTTATAAATGCTGCATCATCGTTTGGCTATGCGCCTGTGCTAGTAAGTTGCTAATAACTTTTCCCATGTTCAAATTAAAAATTTTTTTGAGACTATGAAAATTATACAGGTCAGGAATGAATAACACTTAAAAATGTGGAAGCCATTTTTTCCCACTCCCTGAAACATGAAAATAAAGTGGGAAATGTGAAGTGACAGAGTTGTGAAGGCATTTCCAGAGATATGTGTGTATGTGTGTAAATAGAGCCATCTCTAGTCAATGGGATGACTTCCTGCTCCACTCCTGTGTGGTCAATGCACATCCATCTGGAGTCTTTTACAGTCTCATTTCACGTGCTTCACAAAAGTTACTGAGTTGGTGCTATTGGAGACAGAGGAAGAATTTGACCTTTGTTAAAAATCCTTCAGGCTTCAAAATATCAATGTCTATATTTGTAAGTTTTTTTAAAGCAAAGCATTAGCATATAAAATGTTACCAATATTAAGATACATGTCTAAAATTCCAATATGTTAGATTTACCAGAATGGATAACAGTAGATGTATTAAACCAATGTTTTATCAATTTTCTAGACTATCTTCCCATAGATGGAATAAATATGTGTGTGGAGGAAGAAGCAAAGGGGGTTACAATTTAAATATCGCTTATCTGTAAATATTTTTAGTAGAAATTATGACATTTGAATGAATTTAAATTGACCTAAAGTCATAACTGATGTAAAATAATTGCACAATATAGATAGCAAAAATGAAGGTATTCAGGGAAATTATTCAGGTGTATCCACAAATAAGAAAAAACCCAATGCTTGTAGTTTGCAAGTGATCTGGCACTGTGTCTACTAACATGTCTGAACATAATCAGCCTTAGTGTTTGCTGTCATTAGGCAGAAACATATAAACACGCTGTTCTTCCACTGTGGTGTGTATGTATTAATAAACTGGAGATCTTTGGGAACATCTTATTAACCTCTGTATCTAAATGTAATTTATAAATAAAATATACCCAGCTTTAAACCATGTTGTCATTTTTTGCAAAGTTTCCTATGCTTTAATGTTTGACTCCTTTTCCATGTGGGTCTTACCTGCATATGGCGTCATAAAGCTTTCCAAAGGGTATGTCTTTGAAACAGCCAAGATGCCCCACTACTGATGAATGGATTAAGAAAATGTATTTATACACAATGGAATTTTACTCAGCCATGAAGAACGAAATGTTATCATTTGCAGGTAAATGGATGGAATTGGAGAACATCATTCTGAGTGAGGTTAGCCTGGCCCAAAAGACCAAAAATCATATGTTCTCCCTCATATGCAAACTTTAGATCTAGGGCAAATGCAGCAATGTTGTTGGACTTGGGTCACACACTAAGGGGAGAGTACATACCGGAGGAATTGGGCTAGGTAGGAAAAAACAAAACAACAACAAAAAAAACAAAGGGTATGTCTTTATATCTCTAGATATCATGACCAGGACAAGTACTTCTTTAATGGCCTTTCACTGTGACAGCCTGAGGAAAACCATGAGATTGCTTTTACTCAGTGAGAAAGGACAGATGCTAAGAAGTAGTCTTTTGATCTCAGAAAACAAAGGTAAGTAGATCCTAGAAGGTCAAATGTGTGTTGTGATCTTCCTGAGATGGAAAGCACACAGCAAGGTAGAGTGATATTAGGTTCTCAAGAGCAGAAAAAGAGTGAAGCAACTCCATCATTCAATGTATAGGTGCCATATTGGCAGAATCCTAAGAAAACTCAGTTACAAAAATAAAAGCATTTGTCAACTCAATATATATTTTTCAGTGCAAATCAAAGTTTTTGAGTTCCACCAGCAGCCTATAGAACTTCACTTGGGATAGGATTATGGTAGATTTCCACTTGGTTATTATCATAAGCCAATACAGCTTTTAGTTTTCAGAATTAGCAGAAAATTTATTCAATGTCCTTTATTTCCTGATTAGGAGGTAAATTACACATGGGCTTCACAGTGTGTTCAACTGCCCATCTTTTGCTTTGACTCTTTTTGGGGGTAGAACTAAAGGAAGAAATCCTTTTAGGTCACTTCGCTTTCTGTAGTCATCTATCCAGTGCAAACAGTTTTGTAAATAGATGCAGAACAACTTACTGCCTGCTGGAGCTTCATTCCCTCCTCTCCCCCATTTAAAAATTTTTTAGGCTGCTTAGTCTTCCATTGTGATAGAATTTCAAGTTACAAATTAACCTGAATCAAATATTTTCACGTAACCATTGAATTTATGCCTTTCAGGATTAAGTGCCTGGCTATTTTCAATAATACAAAAAAGAGGTCACTTTTACTTTATTCACCTAAACAGCTGTTCTAGTAACATACAGAAGAGAATGAAATTTCTGACAAAAAAAAAGCTTGTTTAGTAACCGTAGCGCCCACATGGATGTAAAGACCACATACCTGAGCAAATTCTTCACGTGAGGACAAAGTGGGCACGGTAGCAATGTCTTCTCTCTCTAGTGTGGGGAAGTTTCCTGAAATACATTAAGACGTGTTTCCTCATCCATTTCATTGCAACAATCTCACAATAAGGTATAGCCAGAGAAGGCTGTGTTCTTTTTTTGTGGATAAGGTCACGCTAAGTCTTGGCATAAGAATGTGTGAATCATGCTTTGCATACTCTCAAACTTTGTGAGCATAAGAATTAGCTAGGGAACTTAAGAATATAAATCTTAGAAATGCCTATGTCTGTCTTAAAGAATATTTTTCTGAATAAAGAAATTTAACTAAAATGGCAAAGATCCAACAGAACTATTCTTCAATAGGAAGAGCTCAATGCCATTAACTTCAAACAGTGGCAACTATGTTTTTCAGCTGTACATTACTATAAGAAAATATCCAAGGTAATTAAGTTATAAAGAGAAAAGCCTTATTTCAACTCCTGGTTCTGGAGGTTCCAGTCTAAGACAGGTTGGTCCCATGACTCTGGGCCTTTGATGGAGGTGGCACATCATGTTGGGAGATTGTGGTAGATGACTCGATGACTCCAGGTACCTCCCACAGTGCCTCACATCCTAAAGGGTCCACCATCTCCCAACAGTACTACTCTAGGAACTAAGTCTTTAACACGTGGACCTTCAGGTGACACTCTTCCACACCATAGCTAAGGAAAGAAACAGGAAACGGCAGAGAGAAGAAACTAGAAGATTGCAATAGAGAATGAAAACTCCATCCCATTCTTCAGAAACCGTATTGGTGAGTGTATGAAACACCGGGACAGGTATGAAGAATGATGAAGAGAGCAGGCAACCTGACCTGTTTTTCTTCTGGCTACATTGTAGCAAACATGGCCATTGGGAAGAAATAGGTGAAACAGTAGAAGGAGCTCCTTTCAGATGAAAGTTGCAGCCTTGTCTTATAGAATGAAAAAGAAAGGAAGGGAATCTCAGAGCAAGACGTAATGATTGACTTGCAGTTATTATGTTGTGCAGACATAAGGACCTCTCTAGCATGAGAAAAACCATTGGTAAATCATTTTGCTTTCTACCTTGCTTTCTCAAATGCACTTCTGCATTTTAAGCATCTTTACCCCTAGGTTTACAATGTTTTGCTGTCTTCCTTTTGTCCACTGGGAAAAACCTGATTGCTTGGAAAAATTGGAAGTTTTTTTTTTAATTTCCTTTATAGAAAATGCAATCTCAAGATTTTTCACACTTTACATCAAGAACAGAGTACACTTTCACTTTCAAATATATTATATGCCTTTCCTCCAACAGGGCATCTCAAAAGCTAACTAAGATATTCTTCATGCTTGAGTATACTGAACATAAATACCCTATAAATGGGAAGTAGTTTAGTACAAATAAAACATCTCTATATGTTTTCCTTATTGCTACTCTCAGTATTCTTAATCTTGAGTTTTTAAATACAATTTATAGGAAATCCTAATGTTTTTCAAAAATTTTATATAACTGTTACATTTTTTAAATGAATGACCTTTTTGGCCTAGAAGGTAGTCCACTCATTGACTAGCCCATTGCAGAAGAGGATTCAAGAAAGTAGTTGTAAAAACTTTAATCAAACTTTTCTGTTGCACTGGGATTGAACTCAGGGTTT